ACCCTCCTCCGATAGAGGTATGCGAGTCTTCCGCGTGATCATCTGTAACTCATCACGAGCCGGCTTCGATGCCGCCAGGTACTCCAGAATAGAGCACTGCATGGGTTGTCGAAGGGCCCGCCTCAGTGGCTCGACCGTGTCAATCTCGTCCAGCGAACTCTTCATTAAGAACTTCTTCACTCCCTCTTTCGCAGCGAAAGGATAACCTCCTCTCCATCGACCCGCTGCCCGTCCTTCTCCGTCATCACGTAATCCGTGTCAGTCTTCTTCGATGTAGACCCTCTTGCCGACTTGGTGGCTGCCACCCTTATGGGTGTGGTCGCCATATCCCCCTCAAAGGTTATCTTGATGCTCTGGCTCCTGACCGGCTTCATTCCTTTACTCGTCTTTATTCTCCTTGCTTCGACATTCTCCTTCATCGAAGGGAGCATCGATACATCTCCCTGATCATTTGCCCACTTGACGTACTTGCAGTCGTCAAGCACGACAAGTCCCTCATCTATTGCCCGTTTGAGGTCCGGGCAATCCCTCTTGATATGATCTTCTCCTCTACAGTAGACGCATGAGTTCCTGGGAGTAGATGGCCTGTCGTCTGCGCCTCTAGAGATCGAACTCCTGGCCGCCTTGGGGTCAGGCGACTTAGGATATGGTTCTGATGAGACGCCATATCCCCCTCTCTCATTCCGACCGCGCGAATCGTTGCGGCGGTCTCCTCCATACCCTCCTTGCTCATACCGCCCTCGCGAATCATTCCGGTGGTCCCCCGAGTCATATCGTCGTCGTGACTCATCGCGTCGGTCCCCTCGGTTGTACCACCCCCGCGACTCGTCGCGCTGCTCTCTCGCATCTCCCCCGCGCTCAAACCGTCCGCGCAACCCATCTTGTCGTTCCCAGTCCCGATCTCCTCTCTCATATCTACTTCCTCTGTAGCCATCTCGACCCGACCTCTCGTATCTGTCGTCCCTATATCCATCTCGGTCCGATCTCTCGTATCTGTCGTCCCTATATCCATCTCGTCGGCCCTGTTCTGTCTCCCATCGGCCGCGGGAGTCGCCTCTACCCCGATCGGCCTCATAGCGAGGGCTTCGCGGGTAATCATCCAGCCTCCTTGCTCGCACAAACGGCTCGCGATCTCTGCGGTCTCGGTCTATCTCATCGTCCCTACGTTACCATGGTTCATCGTCTCTCTCTTCCCCTCGTACGATAATCAGTCATCGTCCGAGGATTTCTATCCTCGACACTCCTCCAGGGATCGTTGTTCCTACGGTCCCAGCGAAGTGAATAGGGCTCTCCAGGTTTGTCCCGGTAGGCCGTGGCCCCTGTGGCGGTCACATTCTCTGTAACCTGTCTCGTTAATCCCTTCACCATGTCCCGTATCTCCTTCACTTCCTCAGCCACGGCCTCATTCTTCTCGAACCAGGGATAATCCTTGAAATCAGGACATCTATCAGTGGCATACTCCTTGTAGAGAGAGAAGTCACGTCTCCTCATCCCTCTCCACACCAAGTCCTTGTAATCGTCTGCCTCTGCCTTTATCGCGAGTTTTAGGACTTCTGGAAAATCAAGCCTGTCGCGCGGAAGATCTCTAAGTATACTCTTTTGCCTACCTTTGGACAAGTGTCCGATGAAGATAGTACAACGCTCGACCTCTGCGATCTTCCCCTTCTTCATCAGCACGTCGTAGATCATTTAGAAACGCATCCCAAATGCCCGTACGCTCTCATCTTCATCTTGAGTCATTGTTTCAAGGTCCTTGATGAAATACTTGTTATCCTCCAATTTGTAAAGCTCAACGAGGTTCTTCTTGTACGTAGTCCATTTCCCATCCTTCGGTCGAGCTTCCTTAACTTCCCTACCAAGACTTGGGTCCACATTAAATAGGAAGTTCTCTATAATCTCTTCCTCCGACCACTGACTTCGGTTGGCGTGAAACTCCCACTTCTCCAGATATTCTGTGATACCATAGCCCCTGAAGGTAGGAGGCTCTGAGGCCTTGTGCGTAATAATATAGCGATCCCTGCTCTCGTAAGGGAGTGGATGTGACTCCCCTGTCTGGAGGTCGAAGACTCGCCTGGGCGGCGCCCTGTCTCTATCTCTGTCCCTCCAATAGGAATCCCTCAAACTCTCTCCCCAGTCGTCTCTGTGCCTATCCGCTATGGTGTCTCTCCGCTCGTACTCGGGGGAGCGTCGTCTCGTCGTTTCTTGTCGTCCGCTCGAGGTACCCGTCCTTAGAGCCTCCTGCGGCTCTGTTGCAACTGGTTCGCCTCTTACGCCGGACCCTCCGTCATTGGTTTGGTCATCCCATCTCAGCGGTGCTTCTTGCCTTATTCGTTCCTTCAGTTCTCTCAGAGCTCGATCAGGCGATGTCCTATACTCCTCTCCCGCTTCGCCCATGGTCGGTTGTGGCCCCATCATGTCGGGTTCCATTGGACCGCCAGAAGATGCAGTTAGGTATTCTAGCCAACTGTTACAGCCCGACCCTATGACAGTCGCTGCAGCCCGGAC